AACTTCCTTCTTCCAAAAGGCAATGCCTACAATAGAAAGTCCACATTCTAAGAGTACCTATTGGATCACGGTGGTAAAATTTAGGAGTTCTGCCAAATAGTAGTTTTCAGACAAAGAGAAATACTTCAGTTACACAATAATCATTTACTGAGTACAGACACTGTGGTAAAGGACACTATTATAGAGAAGGCTATGGACTCCTCTACTAGAATGTGAGCTATTTCTGGATAGGGAATGTATCATCTTTTCATTTTCAGCCTAGTGGGAAAGATAGACATTCAGGACAGTATTAATGGTCTGGGTCCATTTATTAGGTAGATGGGAAGTAAATAAATTTCTTGAAATGTCAAACCTTTCTAGAGGGCAATTTGGCAGTAGCTAACAAAATTTTATATGAACATAATCTTTGACCAATTTCACTTTGAAGGCTGTATCCTATAGAAAAACTTGCTCAATATAAGTGCCCAAGAATGTTCATCCAGTGTTGTTTCTAATTGCAAAGTGTAAATCAACGAGGAAATGGCTAAGTAAACCAAGATAATTCTATACAATGGAATATTATGTAATTGTTTAAAAAAAGAAGTATATCTATAGGTGTTAATGTGAAAACCACTCATTACTGTTAAGTGAAAAAATCAAGTTGCAGAACAATATACTATAATCTCAATTATGTAAATTTTTTATTTCTTACTTTAAATGTATTTATATCGTTTGAAATGTTAAACTAAGCAAATATTACCTTTTAAAAATATATTTTTTAGCAAATATTACTTTAAAATTAGGATTTTAAAAAGAAATTTTATGAGTACTCTAAATAGAGTTAAAAAAATTAAGCAAATGGATAATTTTGGGATGTTAAGGATAGAAATTAAGTTAGAAATATCACCATGGAAGGCAATAACAACATAGAGCCAAGAAATACTCCATGGTGACACTGGTATTTATTGACTGAGATGATGGGACTTTAAAATGGCTATGTTGCAAGCAAAATACCCAAGGATCAGTTTAAAATGGGGATTGAAGAGTTATCCAGGCAACTTCAATAACCTACTGAGGTCCATTTGACAGCCACGCTCCTCAAGAGAAGGGTTTGCTATGGCTCTAGCACAGCTTTACGAGATTTTCTCTTAAAGGCATCCAATTGTCTGTGGATTTACAATCACTAACCAGCCCACCAGGAAGAAGTTCCCTAATGCAGACTACCTTCCCAAGCTCGGTGTATGTCCATGTAAATCAGCCAGTTACTATACTTGCACAAATCAGTATTAATGATTAGGAACAGTGCACATCAGTTGTTTTTTTCCCCAGGGAAAACAGCTGTGGTTCTTGTTTTGCAAAGCAAGTAGTAAATAGCAAGTCTCAGGTCATAACTCTTTGGCTGACTAAAACTTTTAAAGCATCTATAATAATATAAGTGTAATATGCTAATTAGATTGGACACTTCGAGGGAAGCCCAGGTCCTGGGTGCCAGAGGGGAAGCTGGTGCTGGCAGCCAGGGGAAGGAAGGCCTACTATTGCACTAATTTTGTGCATCGGGCCTCTAGTATGTACATAATGATCTAACTACTTAAATTATGAAGCTTACAGGCCTTCTATGTGATGCACATGGGTAAGCATATCTGCTTTCAAGGGAAAGGCAATATGCGAAAGACATGACCAAAAGGCAGCTTAGAGCCCAGCCGGTGTGGTTCAGTGGTTGGTTGTCGACCCATGAACCAAGAGGTCACCAGATCAACTCCTGGTCAGGGCACAGGCCCAGGTTATGGGCTTGATCCTAGGTAGGGGGCATGCAGGAGGCAGACAATCAATGTTTCTCTCTCATCACTGTTTCATCTTTTTATCCCTCTCCCTTCCTCTCTTTCTAAAAAAATCAATAAAAACATAATAATAATAAAAAAAGGCAGCTAAGAGCACAATCCCTATCACAGGTTCCCTACAGCATTAATATTTCTCAGGAAAAAATGCAGCTTTTAAATGACCAATTCTTGATGAGCTATTCCTTGTTTAAATACAGCAGTCAACATCTCAAGGTTAGGTAAAACTAAATTTCTACTTCCTATTGGTCCTATCTTCACAATATATGACTTCTTATCACCTTCAGTGCTTGCCCATCTGATCCAAGCTACCAACTTCTATCGCTGGAAATACTGAAAGAGCCTTCTATGGTCTCTATCACTACTCAAGTTGCGGACATGTTTTCTTTATACAACGACCAGAGTAATCTTTTAAAACATAAGTCCGATTTTGTCAGTTACCTATTCAAAACCTTCCAATGGCTTCCCTGTGCCCAGAATAAAATCTAAAGCCCTTATCATGGCCTACAAAGTTCTCCATAACACACGGCCTCCGTGAGGTGTCTCCTGTTCTCATCCCCTTCCCCATTCTGTTCCTGCTAAGATGGTATCCTTTCTGTTCCTCAAGCACATTAAGCACTTTCTACCTTAGGGTCTTTTACTCACTATTCTCTGAATAGAATTCTCAGAAGGCTTGCTCTTCTGGCTGCTTTTCTTCAACTCTAGGCACTAACTGACAATAACTGTCTATTTTTTAAAATGTATTTTTATTGATTTCAGAGAGGAAGGGAGAGGAAGAGAGAGATAGAAACATCAATGATGAGAGAGAATCATTGATTGGCTGCCTCCTGCCCCCTACTAGGGACTGAGCTCGCAACCCGGGCATGTGCCCTTGACCGGAATTGAACGCGGCACTCTGAGTCCGCAGGCCTACGCTCTACACACTGAGCCAAACTGGCTAGGGCGACTGTCTATTTATTGTCTGCCTCCCACATTGGAATGTAAAGTCCAGGAGAGCAGGCATGTTGTTGTTCTCTGCTATTCTTCAGACAAGCACTTGGCACAGAGCAGAGCAAGCATTCAATACAAATTTGCTAAATAGCGAATGAACATTCTGGTTTCAATTATTAGTTGATTTTGCTATTTCCTTAAATTTCATTTTACATTCCCTAGGACACTTCCATCAAAGGTAGAGTAACTTAATTTTTCTAAAGCCCTTCTGAGCATCTCCCTTTCTAGACTATTTGGTTTAGTTATATACCCTCTGCTAAGAAAAGCACAAAAAGAACTGAGAGATGGCCTTTGGCTAGTGTACCTGGAAGATACTGAGGCACCTAGCAATACCTGTAAAACTAGGCCTACTCTAAACACAGAAGCCAGGGTGATCTTTTAAAAATAAAAGCCATCCTTTGAAAACAGAACTCAGACTGTTATGAATATTACCAGTACTCCCTATTTCTCTCAGAATATAATCAATTCTTACAATGGCCTATGAGACCCTATAAGGTCTGGCTCATTACCTCTCTGACCTCATCCTGCCCCTTACTCATTCTTTTCCAACCATTCTGGCCTCATTGTTGATCCTCAAACAGACGAGGCACCCTCCTGCCTCAGGGCACTTATCTGACTATTCTCTCATCTTGAAATACTCTTCACCTAAAAACCCATGACTAATCCTTCAAGTCTGCTCAAACATCACCTTCTCAATGAGGCTTATACCTGACTCCTCTACTTAAAATTATAACTCAGCACTCTATGCCCTGGCCAGTGTGTCTCAGTTGGTTGGGCATTGTCCCGTGCATCGAAAGATTGTTAGTTCAATTCCTGGTCAGGGCACATGCCCCAGATGCGGGCTCAATCCCCAGTGGGGGTGTGCAGAAGGCATCTGATGCATGTTTCTCTCCCTCTCTCTCCCTTTCTCTAAGTCAATAAAAATATTAGTAAAATAAAATTATAACTCAGCACTCTTGATTACCTTTACTATGCTCTACTTTTTCTTTGTTCCATGGTGCTTTTGCCTTCTAACCTACTATACATTTTACTTATTATGTTTATTGTTTTTTATTTTCTTCTCTAAAATGTAAGCTCCAGCCCTAGCCGGTTTGGCTCAATGGATAGCGCATCCACCTGCAGACCAAAGGGTCCTGGTTTCGATTCTGGTCAAGGGCATGTACCTTGGTTGCAGGCTCTTCCCTGGCCTGGGCCCTGGTCAGGGCTCATGCAGGAGGCAACCAATCAGTGTGTTTCTCTCACATAGATGTTTCTCTCTGTCTTTCCTTCTCTCTCTAAAAATCAATGGAAAAGTATCATCGTGTGAAGATTAAAAAAAAATAAAATGTAAGCTCCGTGAGGGCAGGAATGTTTGCATGTTTTGTTCACTGATTCCAAGAATCTAGACAGCACCTGGCACGTAACAATCACTATAAATGTTTGTGATTAAAGGTAAGGAGCCTCCTGGCCTTTATCCTGAGAGATTACTTATGTCTGGGCTGCCTTCAGAGGAGAGATCACCATCACAATTGGAAGTTAATTTGGAAATCATGAGGAGGTAATAGTGCAGAAAAACAGAACAAACAAAAAACTAGTCTAGAAGTAAAAAGTCCTGGATTTTGTGTTTTAAATTCATTTTTTTAAAAATCAATGTGTATGACTGAATGATGTACTTAACTTCATAGTTTCCCAACTGAAAATCAAGGACAAGAATAATGCCTCATGAGGTGATCAAGAGAATGAAATGAGATAAAGTAAAAATATAAAAATGCATGTTTGCATTTGGAATTCTTTTCAGTTCAGTGCTTCTTGAGGGTTTAGAAGGGAAAATTCCTTTCCACTTCTCTTAATCAAAAAATTTCTCATTAAGCTCAGAGCAGGACTACTACTACTTCCCTTAAGTTTTTCCCATTTGGGGGCTCTATAAGCAGATTAATCCAAAAAAGTACAATCATGTGCTAGGCAGTTTTAGAAATATTAATATCTTAGACCATGTACTAAAGGGGCAGTATGGCACATAAGTGAAACTTAACCCAACCGCAACCACAACAAAAAGAACTAACTAAATGATTCATAAGCAAAATATCGTTGTAAAACAAGAGTAATGGAGCCGTGCCACTCAGAAACATCAAGGGTAGAATAGGCTTTGGTAGGTTGCTTGTCCAGCTATTTTTATAAATAAATAAAAATAGAGCACAGAGTTAAAAAGAGAAACCATTTAAAATAGATATTATCCGGTCTCTTTGCTGAGGTCACATTGAGCTGCGAGCGGCTTCAGGGGCGTCTTTAGGAATCAGCAACATGGCAGAAGACATCAAGACCAAAATCAAGAACTACCGGACTGCTCCTTTTGACAGCCGCTTCCCCAACCAGAGCCAGACCAGGAACTGTTGGCAGAACTACCTGGACTTCCACTGCTGTGAGAAGGCAATGACTGCTAAAGGGGGTGATGTCTCTGTGTGTGAATGGTACCGGCGTGTATACAAGTCCCTGTGCCCCATATCCTGGGTTTCGGCCTGGGATGACCGCCGGGCAGAAGGCACATTTCCTGGGAAGATCTGAACTGGGCATCCTCCATCCTTCCCCCAGGGACGGGAAGGGGGGCCTGGGTACATCCCACTCTAGAATCCTGAATCATGGCTTAACTAATAATAAATACTTGTAAAAATAAATAAATAAGTAAATAAAATAGATATTATCCAACAGGCTCTCAATATATAACTGATCCTTACCTGGCAATGCTGAAGCTCAATCAGAGCAGCCCTCAGTGGAGATAAAAGCATGCTTTGCTTGAGCCATTTACCCAGAGAGAAATACAGTTGTGCCAGAAAAATGCCATAAAATATTAAAAACAGAGTGAAAGTCACACTGAGAAATACTTTGGTAAGTCTGAAAAGAAATAAATAACACTTCTATTAACTCTTACTTGGGCAACTTAGTTGGACCAAGTGTTATTTTGGATTTGAAAATTTTAGGGTGAATGTAATCAAATCAGAGAATCAAATTTGAGGAACATGTGCTACTGAGTTGATTGTGGCACCTAGAGATCCAATTACTATAGTTGGAAAACAGTTAAGGGGAGACTTAGCCCAATGAAAGAGGGAGAAAGAAAAAAGAAACCATAGTATTTGACAGACACAATCAAACTTAAGCAATGTTCTCATTTCAGCCCCTAGATTTCTCTCCCTTGACTTGTTTCCTTAAACCAACCTATCTTACATTCATGGTAAAATTAAACATCCCCAGAATACTGACTACCATTTTATAAAAACTGACTCACATTTACTATATCCTTTTTGTAGTACTGAATTTACTCAGCTCTCAATCCTAAATATAAGATAAAATGGCTTATAGTGTAAACAGGTATCAAGCTTGGGTGGGAGAAAACAATCATTTGAAATGATTAAGTTGAGACAAAGAAGCTTCATATTATCTACAAGCACAGATCATAGGGCTAGTAAGTGAACAGACTGTGGGCAGATCTGACAAGGACAATCATGTTTAGAGTGGCTGGTGAGCCCGCTCTTTCTTCTTCCAGTTTGTTCCTTGGCAAGGAGGAAAGCAAAAGCCCCCAATGATGACTCGCTTGATCTTACCACATCAATCTCTGTGTTGGAATGTCCCATGTTACAAACAATGCAGCTATTCTTCATCCGGTCTAAGTGCTCTCTGGTTACCACATTCTTGTTACCTTAAAAACAGAAGAGATAGCCACATATAAAGGAATGAAGCTGGACTCCTACCTCACACCATACTTAAATTTTTTAAAAAAATATATTTTATTGATTTTTTACAGAGAGGAAGGGAGAGGGATAGAGAGTTAGAAACATCGATGAGAGAGAAACATCGATCAGCTGCCTCCTGCACACTCCCTACTGGGGATGTGCCCGCAACCAAGGTACATGCCCTTGACCAGAATCGAACCTGGGACCCTTGAGTCCGCAGGCCGACGCTCTATCCACTGAGCCAAATCGGTTAGGGCCATACTTAAATTTTAACTTGAAATGGATCAGAGACCTAAATGTAAGAGCTAAAACCATAAAAGTCTGAACAGAAACTGGGAATAAATCTTTCTGACCTTGGATTAAGCAATGCTTTCTTAGATGTAACACCTAAAGCATAAGCAACCAAAGAAAAACTAAACTGAACTACGTTGAAATTAAAACTTTTATGCTACAAATGATATCACCGAGAAAGTGAAAAGACAACCCACAGAACAGGACAAATATTTGCAAATCACATAACAGATAAGGAACTTGTACCCAAAATTTATAAAGAACTCTTGGCTCAATAGTAAAATGACAAATAACCGAATTAAAAAATGAGCAAATGATCTGAATAGACATTTCTCAAAAGAAGATGTGTCAAAAGGCACATTAAACGATGCTCAACATCATCAGGAAAATACAAATCAAAACCTTCACACCTACTAGGATGGCTATAATTAAAAAAGACAGATAATAACAAATACTGGCGAGGATGTGAAGAAACTGCAATTCTCATGCATTGTTGGTGGGATTGCAAAATTGGTGCGGTCACTTTAGAAAAGTTTGGCAGTTCCTCAAAATGTTAAAAGTAGAGTTACCATATGATCCAGCAATTCCACCTGAAGGTATACACCCAAGAGAACTGAAAACATGTTCACACAAAAACTTGTACACAATATTCACAGCAGCATTATTCTTTTATTTTTAGATTTTATTTTCAACTACAGTTTACATTCAATATATACTTTGTTTTAGTTTTAGGTGTACAGCATAGTGGTTAGGTAATCATACACCTTACAAAGTGATTCCCCCCAATATTTCCAGTACCCACCTGGCATCAGACATAGTTATTACAATATTATTGACTATATTCCCTATGTTGTACTTCATATCCCTGTGACTATTTTGTAACTACCAATTTGTACTTCTTAATCCCTTTACTTTTTCCACCACCCCTCCCCTCTATCAACCACCAGTTTGCTCTCTGTATCTATAAGTCTGTTTCTATTTTGTTTGTTCATTTATTTTGTTCTTTAGATTCCACATATAAGTGAAGTCAGAGGGTATTTGTCTTTCTCTGTCTGACTTATTTTACTTAGCATAATATCCTCTACGTCTATACTTAGTCTATAGGGTGAATTTTTTCATATGTGGATTATATATCAATGAAAAAATTAGACTGTGGTGATGCTTGTATGACCCTATGAATTTGCTAAAAAAAAAAAAAAAAAAGCATTGAACTGTACATTTAAATGGGTAAAATCTAAGATACGTGAATTAGATCTCAATAAATTTATTTTAAAAATAGATTAATGGATTGATGTGAAGCAAGAACAGTTTCTTGTGGTCCCTCTTCTCTGCCCCCAGCTCTTCTTTTTCTTTTTTTTTATAAATATATTTTATTGATTTTTTACAGAGAGGAAGGGAGAGGGATAGAGAGTTAGAAACATCGATCAGCTGCCTCCTGCACACTCCCTACTGGGGATGTGCCCGCAACCAAGGTACATGCCCTTGACTGGAATCGAACCTGGGACCCTTGAGTCCGCAGGCCGACGCTCTATCCACTGAGCCAAAACAGTTAGGGCTGCCCCCAGCTCTTCTTGAGCCTATATACATACTTTCGTTTTTAAATATTCTGATTTTCCCCCTCTAAGATACAATTATAAAAGAAAACCAATGTTCCAACAGTTTATGGTTCTAACATAAAGATAAAATCTCAGTCCAAGAAAACTAGTTATTTCTGCATATTCCTCTCTAAAACTCAAAATCTACCTCTTTGGGAATCAATACAATTACGTTTCCCACTTTCTCTACGAATTTTGCTCAGCCTTGCTTTTATTATAGGGTCTATAGAGAAATATATATCACTTTTGGAGGTAAAATTAAAAAAATCAAATGTACAAATGTAAGATCTGGGTTCCCAAACAAAACTCATCTCTAGCCATCTCCTAGGTCAGTGATGGCGAACCTACGAAACGCGTGTCAGAGGTGACACGCGAACTCATTTTTTTGGTTGAATTTTCTTTGTTAAATGGCATTTAAATATAAAAAATAAATATCAAAAATATAAATCTTCGTTTTACTATGGTTGCAAAGATAAAAAAATTTCTATATGTGACACGGCACCAGAGTTAAGTAAGGGTTTTTCAAAATGCTGGCACGCCGAGCTCAAAAGGTTCGCCATCACTGTCCTAGGTGGTTGAAGATGAATGGAGATATAGAACAAAGAGATGGGAAGAAACCTTCCTCTATGAATGACTTAAAGGCATACTTTTGGTCAAGCTCTACAGAGGCAGGAAGAATGTGAAAAATTGACTGGTTTTGTAAACTGCTATCTCTGGCTTTTAGAGTTTGGTTTTGTTCAGAACATTTTCAGCCATTTTTCATTTGTTCCATAAAGGCATTCTCAAGTGCCACCCATTTTAGATGTTATAATCGTACCTGTACAGGTAATAACAATATCCACTTGTCGGATGACCTCATTCAATTTCACCAGGCGAAATCCATCCATACTGTAGAAATAAAGCATGATCAATTAAGCTAAAAGGCAACTGGGAGGTTTTTGCTGAAGAACCTCAAAAGCTATTACTAAGTTGCTTTGATTCCTACACTGTCATTTCTTGATATAGCTGGACTACTCTTAGCAGTGAAAAATTCAAACCATTTCCTTAGTTCATTCAAGACAGAAATAAAAGATTCTTTTGCATCACTGGAACCTGATTCTTCCTGATAATAGGGAGACAATGTTAAGCATGGGATTCCCCAATTAAGTTTCTAGAAAGTGCCATTTTAGCACTGAACCTACTCCCCACTGAAACTGCTTCTCTCCAAGATCATCAATCATCTCCTGAATGCCACAGTAAATTTATTTAGACTCATATATTACTTGATTTCCTCTAGTACATTAAACATTATTTGTCTTCTTAAATCTATATACTCCTTGGAGTCCATACTGTTTTATCCTAGTTTTCCTACTTTTCTGATTGCTCCTTCTCAATCTCACCAATCTTTAAATGTAGGGTACTCTTTTCTCTCAGCACTTCTCCATACCTTTTCCTGGCTATATATGACCCCTCATAGGTGGCTGATTTACATATCTATATCTTTAGCTTAGATATCTCCAAAACTTCAGAGCCCTGGATCAAATTACCCACTAGACAGCTCTGCTAGATGCCCCACAAGGATCTCAAACTTACTGTGTTTGAAAAGAAACTCATTATCTCTCCACGTCCCCAACTCTATTTCTTCTTCTGTATTTTCTATATTATTAGCATTATTTGTTCACCCAACTATATAAGCCAAATAAACTAGGATGTCTGAGCCTACTGCCTCTTCCTAAGTGAGGTTGGCACCAAATCTTTTACCTAACTTCCTTAAAACCTCTTGAATCTGTCCCTTCTTTCCATACATGCTGGCCTTATGTTCAGGTTTTATTTGTCTGTATTACTACAGTAGCTCCTGGACCAATCTCATCACCTCTATAGGTCTATGCCTCTCTAATTCATTTTGCAGAGTGGATTTCCCTAAATGCAACTTGGATCATGTAACTTCCTTGTTTAGAATACTCCAGGGAGATTGCCTGCTCTCAGGAAAAGACCCAAATACTTCTACTGATATATGATTATCCTGACATACGATTCCTATCTCAGATATACTCCTCCCAAATTTACCCTATA